TGGGTGGATGATGGGTGGATGGGTGGATGGGTGGATGGGTGGATGGATGACAGAAGAAAAGAAGAGAGATGATTAATATGGATAGATAAGAGGAAGAAAGGGGAGAAAGAAAGGGAGAGACAGAGACTGAGACAGAATGAGTTCAGGCCATCTCCCCCTGGCCCACAGCATCCTGGACCTACCAAGGCTGGCTCTCCATCATCCCCTGCACTCTCCAATTCTCTCCCACATTGGGAAGACTCACATATGCACAGACCACTGGGTGGCAGACAGAGAGACAGCTCTCTTCCTTTCCTTATCCCTTGCCCCAGGGCTTTCTGCCCACTCTACAGGGAGCCTGGAGGCTCAGGCCCGCCCAGGGGAGCTGCTGATACTGTTCTCGTTTTCTGAGACAGAGTCTAACTACATAGCTCATGCTGGTCTCAAACTGCCAGCAATCCTTCTGCCTCGGCCTCTTGAGTGCTGGGATTGTAGGCGTGGGCCGCCATGCCTGGCTGCTGTAGGGCCTGCTCCTTTGCTACGAGCTTTCCCAGGACCTCTGTGGTGGCTCTTCCCCTCCACCATCCTTGGGGGCTCCCTGCCCAGCCAGCTGTACCCCTGGTCCCTGGCTCCTCCTCCGGGAAGCCCACACCCCAGCACAGACACCATGGTTGGGCCCTGCATCCATCTCAGGGCAGTCTCCAGGGGCCATGGCCTCCCTGGCAGCCCACTGCCCTCACAACGCAGACCCCCTTCTGCCTTTCCCAGCTTCATGCTCCTTCTGAGCAGCATGACTTCTCTGAGCAGTATGACTTCTCAGAGCAGCGTGACTTCTCGGAGCAGCGTGACTTCTCACCTCGTTCCAGGCCCCAGGGACGTGGGGTCAGATGGTCGCTAAGTTTCAGTGTTGTTGTTTGGAAACTGGGCAGGGAAGAAATGTGGCCCACAGGAAGGAAAGGAGGGGACAGCTGCTAAGCTCATGACCTAGCAAAACGCATGCCTTGGGGCATCCTCCAAAGATGCGGGAGTGGGGTTCTCCAGCCATGGAGGGAGATGGGGAAGCCCCTCGGGGTCAGAGACCCAGACAGAGACGGAAGTCATGCGGCCTCCTAAAAGATCTGAGAGATGCGCTCAGGACACTGACCAGCAAGGCTGTGAGGCTGGGCAGGTCCTCCACTCTGCTAATCGGGAGGCGACCCTACCTCTAGGCACCACTGTCTTGGTTGCTTTTCTTTTGATGCTGAGACAAAACACCAAAAGCCCCAAATTAAGGAAGGGAAGATGTTTTAGCTCACACTCTGTGGAGGTTTCAGTCAGCAGGCTCTGAGGCAGAGCGGCATGGCCCAGGGGCAGCCGTGCAAGGCGGCAGAAGACAGCAAAGGCAGCAAGAAGACCCGATGCACGGAGCAGGCCTCTTCTCCTCCCTCCTGTGGTAAGCAGGCTGCCCAGTAGGTGCCGCGCTCAAGCCCTCCCCGCCCTCCTCTCACGCAGGCTCAGGATGCTTACAACGTGAAGGCCCTGGGCCCCTGCTGAGTCACTTAATGAAGCTTCTGAACTTCTCAGGTTGTCACAATGTGTCAACCATGACAGGGACTGAAGCCAGTGGGAAGACATGTGAGGCTTGGTAAGCGGGAGGCCTGTGGGGAGCACCCAGCAGGCGCCACCAGGACGAGAGTGCTTTCACTTTCACCTCACTCTGGCTTCACTTTTAGTTTTGAGCGACCTTCTTTCATCCCTTTTGCCTCCCCTCTGCTTTCTGGTCCCCGCATGGATGTTCTGGGCTCTTCCTTACCGTGTTCCCCATGGTGAGAGATGAAGCCAGTGTTCTCTAAGGGCCAAGAGGTCACTGGTGCTAACAAATCTGGTCTGCCCTCACCCAACTGATTTGGCTGATTCTGTCTATGGCCGTACCACCCTGAACGCGCTCGATCTTGTCTGATTTGGCTGACTCTGCCCAGGACTATTCATCCTCAGGCTGAGGGCCTAGCTGGGCCTGGACTAGAGAGGCAGTGTCACCGAGTGCCTGTAAAGCCTTTTAGTACCCCTCCCCCTTCTGCAGCAGCCCATCCCCCTGGGAGGACTGGCTGCAGCTGCCTGGTGCAGAAGACCTGCTACACAGAGACCCCAGCCTCAGCCCCCCGATGAGGACTGGATCTGCGGGAGGGAGCAGAGGAGGCTGGCTGCCCCAGCCGGGGTCCTTGTCCTCCAACAGAGGACAGTTCCTAGCAGCAGGTCTCTAGACGAGGCACTTACGGGTGGGGTATCTCTCATGGCGGCAGTCCAAGCGGTAGTCCTCCTCCTCGCTTCCATCCCCCTTTTCAATCCTGGAAAGAGAATAAGACAAAAAAATTTTCTAAACAGAATCCAGTCATACAAGAACTAGCACCAAGATCAACAACTGGGTTGATATCAAATCAGTAATCTGCTGCACAGCAAAGTAAGTGACCTACAGAATAGGGAAAAGCTGCCCAGCTCCTCTGTGGACAAAATATCTAAAATATAAAAAAACTGAAAAGAAAAGAGATTCCCCAAATAACAGACCCAATAAACATGGGCAAGTGACATGGAGACACTTCTTAGAAGACGTACAAATGACCAATAAACACATGAAAAATTGTCCAATGTCTTGGCCGTTACAGAAATAAAAACTAAAATGATGCTGAGATTCCACCTTACTCCAGAAAGCAAGGCCAGTCAGCATCAAGAAACAGAGTGGTAACAAATGCTGGGAAAGTTGTGGGACAAAAGCAAAGCCCTGTACATCGTGGTGGGAGTGTAAACTCAGACTGCCGCTGTGGAACTCAAGGTGGAGAGTCCTTGAAAAGCTAACCCTAGAAATTCCATTTGACCCAGGTTTTTCCCTTCTAGGCATCTTCCTGAAAGAGTGAAAACCATCATAACAGTAATACATGTATACTCGGGTTTATAGCTGTGAATTCATAGGAGCCAAATCTTAGAAACAGCCCATGGCCACCAACGGATGAGTGGAAAGAGGAAAGTGGTGTTGACATGGAGTGGAGTACTACTCTGCCATGAAGAAGGAAAAGCTTGCATCATTTTGTAGGAAAATGGATGAGACTCAGTGTCAGGTGGAATAAATCAAGCATGCAAGTTTATAGGAGAGATCCCAAGTATGAAGTAAATTAAAGAGACAAATAAAAAGATCAGTAACAGGAGACAAGGAGGTAAATTTCCCATCTGCAAATGGGAAGAGGACCCAGAGGGAGGGAGGGGGGGAGGAAGAGGAAGGGAAGAGGAACTATATATGCCAAGCTGAGGGTGGGCTACATATGTAGTGCAAATATGTGCTAATGAAACACCCAACACCCACGTAAGAAAGAGCAGGTCAAAGAGCCAGCCTCCCTTTTGGGGAGCGGTTGGCAAAGTGTCCTTTCTTTTGTCCCGTAGAGCTCTACCATGACCCTGCGGGCTGGCATCAGTATTCCCATTTTACTGATGAACAAACAGAGGCATCTGAAGGTAGGCTGGGCCGGGCGGGCAGGCAAAACCACGGCTGTCACGAGAAGTGGATCCTGGCTTGCGCACCCGCGCTCGGTGCAGAAAAGTGATGTGTACGTTGCTAAAGGAGTGTAGGACTTGACTTGGGTTCAGAAGTACGCACTTATTTGAGTGGGTGTGCACACACACATGCACACGTACGCACACACACGCACACGCACACACAGAACCACGCCTGGCAGGCCAGGTGCCACAGCTGCAGTGTCTGCCCCCGGGAGAGGATGCCGGCTGAGCCCAGGGCCTGCGTCCTGCCTGAGCCCAACGTCTGTGCTGAGGCCTTCTTCAGCGCAGGCCGCTTCTCACCCGAATTAAAACTCTTCTCAGAGCCACCTCCGCGCGCAGGCAGGCCCAGGCGTGCGCTGCTTTCTGGAGCCGTGTTTTTTTCCCATGAACAATGCATGAGCTTGTCTCTCTGTCTGTCTATCTGTCTCTCTCCTCTCTGTCTCTCTCAGGTGGGGCTGGGCTGGAGCCCAACGGCTTCTTCCTGAAACGCACTCACCCGCTTTACATTTTGAGACAGGGCTTTACTAAGTCCCCAAACTTCTCAGACTGGGCTCAAGCTTGTGACTCTCCTGCCTCAGCCTCCAGGGTGCTGGGATTATAGGCCTGGGCTGTTGTTCATTTTTATTTTCGTCGCTAAATGGAAACATCTTTCTTATTTTCCTGGCAAACAAATGCACAAAAATTCCTACACCATAGAAACAGCCAAAGTCGCCCGATAAAAACGTGTTTTGTGTAGTAGTGTGGTGCTTATCTTTTTAGAACTAATACATTCTTTCAGATATAAAGAGGTTTAAATTAAACATACTGTTTTGTAACCTGATTTTTTCATTTACCCAGAAATTTTCAGCATTTTTCAAGTGGGCACACACGCATTTATCTTCTGTTCCTCATAACTATACATGAAAGAATAATTTATATTCACGTCTGTTAGGACTCATTCAGAGTTCTCCGGGCTTCCCGGTCTCCCAAGCAACAGAGCCTGGGGGGGAGGAGGCTGGGTAACAGCCCCGCCCTCATCCAGAGCCCCGCCCCCATCCTAAGCCCCGCCCTGTCCTGAGCCCTGCCCTGTCCTGAGCCCCGCCCTCATCCTAAGCCCCGCCCTGTCCTGAGCCCTGCCCCGTCCTGAGCCCCGCCCTCATCCTGAGCCCCGCCCTATCCCGAGCCCCGCCCTCATCCAGAGCCCCGCCCTGTCCTGAGCCCCACCCTCATCCTAAACCCCACCTGCCACATCTGTGTCTGCAGATTGCCACCTTGCCGCTCGCAGGTGTGTGCCTCCCATGTCCTTCTGGGCGTCAGCCTTGACCTTGAGCCAGTCCAAGACCAGCCCATGGCTCCTGCTTCTCGATTCCCTTGCTCTACGCCTTGGGCTGAGCACCTCCTTGGGCTCCCCGATCTCCTCCAGCCTGGGAGGATGCACTCAGTTGAGCTAAAGGGGCCAGGAGGAGACAGCGAGCTGGCACCACATGGACCTCCCAGGCCTCCTTGGCCATCCTGCTATGTCACCCAAAAGCCCCAAATTGTAGCCTGGTGTGGTGACACATGCTAGTAATCCCAGCACCCTAGAAGGCTGGCATAGGAGTAATGCAAATTCAAGCCCAGCCTGGACAACTTAGTGACTTAGTAGGATCTTGTCTCCCAAATAAAAAAGGAAAGAGCTGGGGCAAAAGCGCAGTGCAAAGGCCTTATATGTAATTCCCAGTAACACACCACACACACACACACACACACACACACACACACACACAGGCTCAACTTTAACACCTAACAGGTCAAATGACACCTACAGACATTGAGGCACTCGGGCCTTGTGCTGGGCTGGGGCCGTGGGGTGGCCCAGAGAAGCCCTGGCGGCCCAGAGCCACACCAGGTGTATACGGACAAATTCAGGGCTTCGAGGGCCCAGCTGGAGGCCGGGAGGCTGAGGGAGCCAGCAGTGCAGTCTTGCAGCCCAGGGCTTGGTGACTTTGCCCACCCAGGTCCAAACAGCAAACCTGTGAGGCTGTGGGTGCCTTACTGTGTCTGTCACAGCTGTTCAGCTCTCCCTGTGGCCAGCTGCACATGTGAGTGTGGCTGTTGGCAGCAGCAGGTGGCAGCTGGGATCTAGCTCGCTTGAGGGAGATCTGCATTAACCTGTGGCCATGCCCTGTGGCTCTCGACCTGGCTGAAGTCACCAAGGGCAGATGGAAGTCATCCCCTGGGATTGTAATGGGGGCCAGGGCCGGGACAGCTGTGTGGGACCTTCCTCCCTGAGCTGCCTCCCAAAGGCCACAAGGCCTGCTCACCTCTCGAAGGGGCTCCACCTGTCTTTCTGCCTTGCCACGAATTCTGGAAAGAGCTAGTATTCTTGCACGAACTCAGCTCTCTCCCACAATTCACTCATGAAAACTCCAGCTCGTTAGACTTTGCAGGGTCTGGCAGCCCTGAGGGGTGTGGATGAGGCCCGGCAGGGGTCTGGGCACAGACTGATGGTCCTTCTGGGGCAGAGCCCAGCTCAGTGGTCCCCAGGGAGCATGACTGCAGTCTCCGGGCACAGTGTCACCTTCCTTGTGCCTGCCAACAGCTGCAGCGGCTGTGGTACTGAGAGTGGCAGCCACCAACATCATCACCTTTACCCTCATGGACTAAACCCAGGCAGAACCCAGTCATCCAAGGACTAAACCCCAAGCCCTGACACAGACCAAGACCTCGGAATGTTAGTTAGTACACTTGCATTTTAAACATGCTTAATAACAGGAGTGATGGCTGTGCCTGTGACCCCACCACCCTGGGGGAGGAGGTGGGCGGGTCCTGCGTCCAAGCCCCCTTGGGCTGCACAGTAAGACTGTGTCTCAGAAAACAAGAAAACAACAACAGCATCATGCCTAATAGTCTGCCTTCCCTCAAATCTTTTCAACTCAGGACAGGGTTGGTCTCAATGTCCGGGGTCTGAGGCTATACTTGTCTGTCTGTCTGTCTGTCTGTCTGTCTGTCTGTCTGTCTGTCTTGCTAAAGGAGGAAAGGCTTATTCAGCTCACAGTTCATGGAGTTCGCAGTCCATAATCAGCTGGCTCCAAGCAGGGTGCCATTGGCACAGGGGCAATGGCTCAGGGTGGCAGAAGAAAGCAAAAGCAGGGGGTGGGGCAGGCCTCTTTTCCTCCCTTTATCGTGCTGCCCTGGGGCGGGTGCAGTGCTAACACCATGTCCGCCCTCCTCTGGCGCAGGCTCAGGATGTTTACAGAGTGAGGGCCCCAGCCTCTGCCGGGTCACTTAGTCCAACTTCTAACCTCCTCGGGTTGGCACAATGAATCGACCATAACAGCAGTCTTTAGCCCTGGAGAAGATGGGGTCTCTCTTAGTTAGGGTTCAAGAACAGTCAGGGCAGAAAGAAAGAGGTACCCAGCTTGTGGGGGGTCACCCAGGAGAAGGTGGCAGTAACGAGACGTCACTGTCATCACCCACACTTGGCAGATGTGAAGACTGCAGCTGATGTAGTTTAGGAGCTCACCCAGAGCCCAGCTGCGCTGGTCAATGTACACATACAGCTCTGTGATAGGAAGTAAACGTCTCAGTTGTTGCTGTGGGGAGAATCCCCTGCACCCCAGGAAGCATGTGCTCCCATTCCTGTGCTACCCCCAAGCAGGGAGTCAGGCGGAGATGGGCACTATGGACTCTCACGCAGGTCCTGGTTGGCTCCAGCCTGTAGCTGGCTAGAGGCAGAGCTGGGATCTGAACTCAGCTCCCTGGGTCCTTGGAGTTTAGCGTGTTTCCATGGCAACCTGGGGGTGCCCCACAGGCCAGGATTCTCAATCAGCCCACCTGGACT